TTGCCCATGGTGGACAGTGTTTGGCGGAGCTTCCCGATTTAAGCGGGTTTGGAAGCAGGAGTGGCATCCACTTCTGAAATGAGTTGCATACGGAAACTCTATGAAAGTGCAGAAACGACGAAATTTATACAAGTGTTCAGGTCTTTCTTTCATAGGGTCACTATGAGTTGTCTACGACCCAACGACACTTAACAACAACAATACAGTCTATGTGTATGTGAGTGTGTGTGTTTGTGTGTGTATTCTATATTCTATATATGCAATGCTTTATTATACTATTTAAAAACAATTTGATATCTTTGGGATATCAGGTATATTCCCAAAGCAATGTTTCTTATGGTAATTTGCACATGTAAAAACTATTATCCTGAATATTTATATATGAAATTTTAATTTTCTTCATTTTGTAGCTTTGCTCAAAACAATGAATCAGCCTACATAATCATGACCAGGTGTGTTGAATAACATTAACACTTCTCTCTCATTCTGTGTCATTATAGATGAAAGCACCTGTCTACCCATACTTAATTAGAAACCACTGACATCTGATTTATTTCAGTTTTGACTATTTTACATCATTTTAAAGTACATTTTAGAGGGTTTTTTAAACTATGTATATGTTCATTTCAAATATCATCTGAATAGTTTTGTATCTCTTGCTTTTTCTGTGAAAACATAAATAATATATTTAGTTAATATGGTTTAAAATAATTCAGTAATGTGTGTAAATAATTTTTTCTTTTTTATGATAAAGGGAGTATATTCTGTGTATATTTTATGTGTGTAAGTAAATAAAAAGCTCTCGTCATTGATCTAATAAATAACCTCATGATAATTGATGAAGAAAATGATGCCAAGAAATGAAGTTGCTTTCCTATGTAGTCTAGTTAACTAGCACAAGAGATCTTTGCCCTATTCTACGTCATCCTCATGATCTCAGACATTCTTTTTTTTTTTAAATTTAGGTTGATCTCAGACATTCTTGAGGCCTCTGTTACAGTCACTATGTCAATATATCTGGTTAGAATCTTCCTCTATTTCTTGATGTTTCCATCTTTCCCAACAAGGTGCATTTGTCAAAGGATGACCTTTCTGAAAACATGCCCAAAGTTTTTGATATGAAGGTTCACTCTTCTTGCCTCTGAGAAACAATTCCTTGTCCTAAAAAAAGATTTGTTTGTTCTTTTGGGAGTCCCGAGGGGATTCCGTACTCTTCACAAACATCGCAATTTAAAGGTAACAATTAAAAGAAACAATTTAAAGACATTAATTCTTTTTTTTTAGCAATTCTTATTATTGGGTTCACTAGAAATTCAAACTGGGTTCAGTTGAGGTCATGCCTGAAGAATATCATTGCTGGTGTTAGACAGATCTTGGCTGAAAGCAAACTCTGAACCAGAAAGGTATTTACTCACTTTTTATTGACTATGCAAGGACATTTTGACTCTGTTGACTATAGCAACATTTGACTAATCCTGAGAATGAGAATCCCTGAACATTTAATTATGCTCATAAGAAACCTAAAAATAGAACAAGGAACAATTGACAAAAACAAAAAAGGGCACAATATATGTAAACTGACCAATAATATGTGAAGCTGGACTATAGAAATAATTATATGGAGTCAGGATTGGAGGAAGACTCATTAATAAACTTTATGCAAACGTTGTTACCTTTCTTGTAGAAAGTAAAGCACTCAATGAAGAAAATCACAGACTATAGGATTTACATATGGTTTACATATCAACATCAAGGAAATACGTTTTTTCCTCACCAGTGGACCAATAGACAATATCATGATAGAGATAACATTGAATTTGTCAGGAATTCAATTTTAATTAGTTTCATAATCAACACACATGATAACAACTGTCAAAAAATTTAAAGATGTATTGCATTAGGGAAAACTGCTGTCAACAATCTCTCCACAGTTCTAAAGAGCAATGATGTCAGCATAAAGACTGCAGTTCTTCTGATCCAAGACATAGTCTTTTCCATTTTGGGATAACAAGTGGCTTGGAAATGTTCATTTTACTTTGATCAATAATTAATGTCCATGGAAGCAACAACAAAGAGCTCAATATGTCTTACTGAGAAAATACACTGCAACAGATTATTTTAAAGTTTTAAAAAGCAAAGACATAATTTTGTTAACTGTACTAAATAAGTCAAAATGAATCCTTTTGATTTCTGAGATCATTTTACAATGAAAAATGTACTATAGTTTTCATAAGAAATGCTCTAAGCTGTAAAGTTTGGGTTTGAATCAAAATAACTTTATGATGTAATTGGTTTCAGGATGGCATTATGTAGGATGCAATCTTCATTTGCAGCATAAGACTTTCCTCTCTCACCCAACATCAAATAATCACCAATCACAGAAACACTTCACAACCAAATTGACTATATTTCCATGATTGTCTAGAAAACTCATCCAAATCTTAATTATGTGCTCATGGAAACAATTTTAAGGAATATAAATTATCTAATTTCTATTAGATATGGAGAAACATATATTACCAAGATTACATTTCAAAGCATATCTTCCCTTGTCTCTGTTACAAATTAAGAGAAAAATAGTTTTCTTTGCAGTGAATGATAAAAACTTTTATTAACGAATTCCAAGAATGAGCAAAATAGCTGGTAGAATATATAGATGGTTTGGAATTTCTAGCAGTAGTCATGTTTTCATAGTTGCCTAACTACTTAAGGTGTGACTAGTAATATATCATATGCTAATGCTTTTTATTTGACATAGTTGGTTTTTCTCTCCTCTATAATCTCCAGCTGTAAGCACAAAATGTATCTGGAAAGGCTGCCAAACACCAGCATCATTATCCCATTTCATAACGAAGGTTGGACTTCACTCCTACGGACCATACACAGTATAATTAATCGAACCCCAGAGAGTCTGATAGCAGAAATTATTCTAGTAGATGACTTCAGTGACAGAGGTAAGAGCCAGTTAAATAATATTTTTACTTGACTCTTATTTTGCTCACATGGTCATTTTTTTAAAGGCAGAAAGCGATTGTGTTGGTTTTTTTCTGATTTCATCTGGAAAATAGTTATGAGGTTTTCTTTATATTGTGGCTTCAAGAAATGTTGGTCAAATTAAAGAGAAACTGAGGGGCTAAGCAATGGTGTCATGAGGGAAAGTAGTAAGAAATGTATTCATTTATATTACTTTGTCTGTTCTAAGTGAAGCATATTTAGTCAGTATACCTCAAGTTCTACTTTTTACAAGCATTGAAAATACATATATTGTTCTTCCTTATATTTTATTACATGAAAGTACTGCTTAACTTACGGTGTATATATGCACATGGAGGAATGGAAGCAAAACAATTTGCAATATTAAAATATTGCGACAAAGTTTTTGCCCATTCCTGAAAATATCTACTCTTTTATTTACTAGTATGATAGCTTCCCCTAGCTGTGCTTGTGATACTTCCTAAATAGTAGACTTATTTTTAGAATTGGTGATTCTTGTTATTTGATTATATATGCAAAAAATAAAGTATAAACTCTATATGGAATTGGACTTTTTTTCCCTACTATGATGAAAAATAATTTGCTTCGTAAGGCAAGAAAATAACAATGGAAATGTTTAAATGTCAAAGAAAATAAAGTCTTCCTGTCTTAGCTGGTATGAGTAGAGATGAGGGAATTTCCTCTAATTATATCCATCTATTTGAGAGTGTAATTTTCTACATTATGTTTTATTTTATAAGGGAACACTGCTTAATTCTGTAGTATATCTGTAAGAAAGAACAGCAGCAAAATAATTTAATTGTATCTTATCCCTGTGCACCAAAAGGGAATACATCTTGAGATCACAGAGGTTAATTAAAATTGTAGACATTTCATTTGCAGTGAAAACATCATTTGCTTCAAGGTATTTATAAATTCTTTAAAAATAAGTATATTCCATTAGTTTTGCTTGTTGTGAAGTTCTTTCAACAATGTTTCAGTTCTTAACAATACATTTCAAATACTGATTCAGGCATTGCTTTATATGAATACGGTTGGAGCTGTTAACACAAAAATGAGATTATCGAAGTGGTATCCACTTCCTAAACAACATGCCTCTAGAAACTCTATGAACTATTTGAATCGTCTTTTGATCTTTTGCTCATAAGGTCACTTTGAGTAACGCTAGAATCAACAACAACCAACAACATACGTTAAACTAAGAAATGATCAATTTAGTAATTCAATTTTTACTTCAAAGGTATTTTTCTTTTTCTAATTAGGTAGGTATGTATTCAACATTTCCTAAACAAACCAAGTCAGTATGTAAAACTAGAATTTTAAGCACTTAAAAAAATAACATCAATTTTTATTTTATTATTAACTAGGAAATTTAATAGTAGCTGTTATTAATTTGGTCAAAAACAGGGCTTTTATGTGTTAATAAAATTGGGTGGGTTTTGTTTGTTTGTTTTTTGCTAAAAAATGTGGGAATAAAATGTTGAAGTTGCATAACACTCAGGAAATAATATTTTTCGGTTGACACATATAGACAAAACAAAGTAGAATATATTTTGATAATTTTCAACATAATTGACTTTGTCTTGATAAACTATCACAGCTAATTGTTGGCCTGGAGGTAATGTAATAGAAAACACTTGGTAGCAAAAATTGTGGATTTTATTTCTTGCTGAATATGTTTGAGAAGTATTTTTCAATTGACAGTCTTTAAAGAGGGAGAAAAATAGTGACACCTCCATTTATCTTGGCTTCAAATCACTGTCATCTTTTTTATAGTATTGACTTTGATGGACTATCCTTCTGCATATAATATTATCTGGGAAGTAAACATGTCTCAGAAGTTACTGTCAATGTGGTTACTGTTAGTGAAGGAGGAACATTCTGTGGCATGGTAGTTGTGGAAGTGTTATTTTGGTTTGGTTTGGTTTTTCACTTTTACACATTGTCTTTCAGATTTTCCTACATTCACATTGTATTTCATATAATCATTCTCATACATTTTGTTTTATAAAATTAATCACTATTGATTTATACCCACCATTACTTTTCTTTTCATGTTCCTGTTGATTCTTTCCTTCTTTCCCGTTTCCTTTACTCCCACCTCTGCTTACAGTAGTTGTGGTCTTTGACTGAAAAAGATCCCTGGTAACATACTGTGTTATATACTTTAAGCTGAAAGAGCAGTGGTCCAAATCCACCAGTTGCTCTGTGGAAGATGGTGAATCCCCCTTTTCTTAAATATGCATAGTCTCAGAAACCTGAAAGAGGGTAACTCTGAGTAGGAATCAAATTAAAGCAGTTGTTTGTTGTAATTTTGGTGATGCAATGATTAAAGCTTTGTGCTGCTAACTGAAAAGTTTGCCACTAGAATATACAGCTGCTTCCCAGAAGTACAATGTGTCAATCTGCTTCTTTCAAGATTTATAGTCTTGAGAATCTTTTAGGGCAGTGCAAACCTGTTCTATCAGGTCGCTAAGAGTTCGAATCAATTCAGTGGTAGTGTTTCTGTTAAACATTTTTAAGGATTGCAATTCTCTTAATGCTGAGATGAAAGTGTCATTTAGAGCTAATATTCTTTTGTTTTCTTTCTTTTTTATTATTTTTTGGAGCTAATATTCTTATAAAAAATCACTTTGAAAGCATTAATTTATCATTAAACTTAAAAACTAAGTTTTTAAATGCTACATTTCAGGTTTTTTGCATGGCAGCATGCAAAAATAGACTCTGAGGTAAATAAATTGGGTGTTTCTATAATCTTCTATAATGAGCAGTAATTACAAATTTAGCTCCTTAAGGAATATTTCTTTCTAATTTTCATTTGAAATTCCTTTTTATAAATCTCAGTCAGTGTTTTTTATGGTTTAAGTTAACACTCACAGCTTCAATTTCACTTTCTGAACTCTGACAATACAGGAAATTAACACAGCAAAAGTCAAAGCCCTGACATCATTACTAACAATATATTATTGTTATTGTTCTGTGTCTGTAAGTCGAAATAGGGCCATAGCTGACCCTCCAGCCGATTTTTAGAGGCAGTAAGTGAAAGGAAGACATTGCCATCCTTCTGCCATGGAGTAATTGATAGATTTGAACCTCATGATTTCAGGATTGCTGTGCAGACTCTTATCACTAGGCCACCAGAGCTTCCTCACAATACATATGTTTCTCTATATCTAAAAGGAGTAACCCTTATGGAATGATTTGAAAAAAAGCTAAGAAAGATTGGGTAGATTTTATACTGCACAACCTTGAAGACTCATTGCTTTTAACCACTGACTTCAGCTCATAAAATATACTCCAATCACTAGAATCTAAAATGTCTCTAGAATCTACTTTGCCTCTATATGTTTTGAGATAATACGTATGAATCAATTAAGTGTAATGTATAAGAATATTTGTGTGTCTTTCTCTGCTTCCTTCTCACCTCCCCCCTTCTCTTTCTCTTTTTCTCTCTTTTGACATTCTATATACTATTTCCAGAAACAAAAGAAGTAAGTAAGATATAGGGGATTGGAAAGGTTTGTCATGGTAAGACACAGAATTATGGGAAATATGGAAAAAATAAAAACCTGTTAAAAATTTAAGATTGTTTTGTTGCTGCTGTTGTTACGTGCCATTGACATCCCTGCGACTCATAGCAACCCTACGTATGACAGCCCTAAACCCTACTCTATTCTGTGCCAATCACAGTTTCCAACACATCTATCACCATTATGCCAGTCCCTGAATCAATTCACCTCGTAGAGCTTCTGTGCTGTCCCTCCAACCTCCCAAGCACGATGTCCCTCTCCAAGAACTGGTTCCTCCCTGCAACATGCCCAAAGTACGTCAGACAAAGCTTCAGAATCATTGCCTTCAAGGAGCAGCCTGGTTTAACCCTCTCTCGGATCAACCTGTTCGTTTTCTTAGCAGCCCATAGTATATTCAACACTCTTCTCCAACACCACAGCTCAAAGCATCAATTCTCCTTCTATCATCTCCACTCATTGTCCAGATCTCTGATGATAACAAGTGATTGTAAAGGCCATGGCCTGTGTCAGGGGCACCTTGGTCTCCAGAGTGACACCATTGCTCTTCAGTACTTTGGAGAGGTCCATAACAGCAGACTTTCTCATCACAATACATCTTTTAATTTCCTGGTTACTGGTGCCAAGAGTGTTGACTGTGGAGTCAAGCAAAACTAAAGCTGTGAACAATGTCAATCTCTTTACCATCCATCCTGATCCTGCCAATTGACCCAGTGGTGAGAGTCATACAAATATTTACTATGACAAGTAAGGAAGTGATTTACTCCAACAATTAGAAAAAGAAAAATAGAAGTCCTGTTTTTAAGTTTGTTTCATTAGCAGGAAAGTAAGCAAATCATTTTACCCAACCAAATTATATGAAAACATTTTCTTGAATGTTGGTAAGTCAACTTCTCCCAATCGTTTTCACTCTTACAAGAGAAGGCAAATCCCCTGAGGCATCTCTTGTTTACAGATCTACCCATACTCCCAGTGCCTTTTCAGACTCCTGCACAAATAACCATAATGTTATGCTCCCTCCCACTCTCAGTTTTGAGTAGGATCATCCCATAACAGACCCTCCAAAGGATTTTCAAAGAGTGAATTGCCTAGGAGGAGACTGTCATCTTTTTCCTTTGAAGTCACTGGTGGATCAAACTGCCAGAGTTGCTGTATATTTGAGAAGCAACCCATCTGCATTTTTAGAAACTCCAAGATATTATAAACCTGAAGAGTGTTGAATCCTACTTACCAAGTCTTTAAAAATAAGATTAGGTAGATAAATTAAACTGAAGTAAGATACAGTGCTTCTTATAGGTTAATTTCTCTTATAAAATACATTAAAGACATCTTTGACTTCCTTTGTGACATTACAGTTACAGTACAACTACAGTTAGTTGTACACTATCGATAACATGGATATACTTCAAAGACCTTTAGCCAAATCAATACAA